CTATCCAGATTCTTTACCACTTTTCTTAATTCTTCTTCAGTATTTGCCTTGGTGATCCGATAGACCAATAGTTTTACTCGTCTTAACGCCTTTTCTGCTTCTATATGAAATCCTTGTGGCGTTGCTAATTCTGGGTTACGAAATAAACCGGTAAGTTTTCTTGTTGATATAGAGGTGCCATACTCTAACGCTGCTATGGTCTGTGAACGGGAAGTGTAATTATTCCAAATATCCGAATCATCAAAAATTAATCGCACTGTTTCGTCGGGTTCTTGAGAAGTGATAACGAATGGGAATTTGATTTGTGTAGGTAGTTGATTTGTTTTTACAGTATTTGTATTAACACTCGCACTAGAACCAGAATGGGTAAACCGACAAGACAAAAGATTTATTGAATTTTTCGTCCCTGGAAAAAAACGACGTCTTTCAAATAAACGCGTGGTTGACTGTATATATCGATTAAATTGCATGTTTTTTGATAAAGGTTGAGATCTAAAATAGTGAGTATCAATCAACAAAAAAAAATTTTTTTAAATCGCCGAATTTCGCCGATCTTAATCTGATAATTTTAGAATTTGTGAAACGATAAAATACATATAAAAAGATATGAAATCCAAGAAAGATTTTTTTCTTTTGTAAATTATAGGTAAAATTAACGAAATTTTCAAGTTTTTTTAGTAGGTTCATCATTATTTTTTTATATGTTTGTAATTCCAAAAGAAATCATTTATATCAATAAAGCAATAATGCTAATTCTCCATATAATAGAGCGCATCATGTTTTATCGAGCAGTTTATCGAAGAACTAGGGCATCCTTGATTTTATCAAGACGACTTAGAACTATTGCAACACATGTGACACCTTCGACACATGTGATGCATGTTTCAACACAACGATTAACTTCGAATCGAAAGAATACCACGCATATATCGAATCTTCCAAAGACCTTCCGAAAATTTTCTTCAACCCCATTAAAATGTGACGCGTTTTCTCCTTTAGACACATTTCCTCAAAGACATAATGGATCATCAGATGCCGAGATAAAAACAATGCTCGATACTATTGGCGTGAAAGACGTGGAAGAATTAATTTATAAAACAATTCCTGCTAATATTCGGTCTACACAGGCTTTGGCCTTAGAAGAAGGTCTTACGGAAAGTGAGCTTTTGAACCAGTTGAAGGACATTGCTTCAAAAAACAAAGTTTACAAATCATACATAGGCATGGGTTACACAAATACAATTGTACCTTCAGTTATTCTAAGAAATATTTTGGAATCTCCGGGATGGTATACACAAGTAAGTATCATTTCAATTAATTCAATATGATGCTGGCAACCTGAAAGAACTTTCGCGTAAAAGAAATGACTTTCATCGGTCTGGCAGTGAAACCATTCGCCTATGCAAATAAAGAATCAACAATGGAACTCATAATAACGAACGATTGCCGTCGTATTTTGTATGCAGTATACTCCTTACCAACCCGAAATCTCTCAAGGTATGCTAATCGTTATTTTTAAAATTCATCTATCAATAATGTAAATATTTTAATATTACTATATCAACTTTTAGGTCGTCTGGAATCACTTTTAAACTTTCAAACTATGGTTACCGATCTCACGAGCATGGATATCGCCAATGCTTCTCTTCTTGATGAGGGAACTGCAGCTGCGGAAGCCATGCTAATTTCTTTTTCTGCAGGAAAACAGAAACGAAATGCCTTTTTTGTGGATGAGAAATGTCATCCCCAAACTATTGCATGCCTCCAGACACGCGCTGAAGGGTTTGGGATCAACGTAATAATAGGAGATGTACTAAAATACGACTTTGAAAACAAACACCAAAATGATTTAGCTGGCGTCTTAATTCAGGTAATGCGTCAATTAAAATAAATATTGTAAAAAATATATCTCTCTTTACTAATACTAATGAAATATATATAATCAATTTTATTCAGTATCCCGCAACAGACGGTAGCATTAATGACTATTCTGACCTTTCTGCCAAAATTCATTCCTTAGGTGGACAAGTGGTGTGCGCAACTGATTTGATGGCGCTAAGTTTATTAACACCACCTGGAGAATGGGGTGCTGATATTGCTGTAGGTAATAGTCAGCGGTTTGGTGTTCCATTAGGTTATGGTGGTCCACATGCCGCTTTCTTTGCTTGCAAAGATCAACATAAGCGAAGAATGCCTGGTCGATTAGTTGGTGTATCACGAGATACATATGGAAATAAGGCCTACCGTTTATCGTTACAAACTAGAGAACAACATATTAGACGAGAAAAAGCTACTAGTAACATATGCACCGCACAAGCACTCTTGGCTAATATGTCTGCTATGTATGCTATATATCATGGACCTGAGGTGCTTTAACATTTAATATTCCTACTTTTTCCAATTTACATGCTAAATATTTTTTTCAATGAATTAAAGGGAATCATAGCTATTTCGAAACGTATTCATAATTTAACTAATGCTTTAGCAGAAGAAATTAAACAGATGGGATATTCAATCAAGAATGATGCATTCTTTGATACATTGAATGTTCATATTGAGAATGGTGCTGATGACATTATTCGAAAAGCTGCAGCCGCTAATATCAACTTTCGTAAAGTAGATAACAATACAGTTGGTATAACATTGGACGAGGCAGTTATAAAGCAAGATGTGTTGGAAATTATTCAAATTTTCTCCAAGGATTCGACCAAGAAGTCGGATTTACAACCAGCTAAAAAAACGGCTATTCCTCAAAAATTCATTCGTACCTCATCTTTTTTGCAACATCAAGTGTTTAATTCTCATCATTCGGAGACTAAAATGCTAAGATACATATATCACTTGCAATCAAAGGATCTTTCATTAGTTCATTCTATGATACCTTTAGGAAGTTGTACTATGAAACTTAATGCAACTACGGAAATGATCCCAATAACATGGCCCGAATTCGCAAATATACATCCATTTGTGCCAGATGACCAAGCTGAGGGATATAAAATGTTAATTAAAGTAAGTTTTAAATTCAATGAAAGGAGGCGCGTTTTCATGAAGTATACTAACGATATTTATTTTTTTTAAAAAAAAGGAACTTGAAAAAGATCTTGCCATTATAACAGGATTTGATGGTATTTCTTTACAACCAAATTCTGGAGCTCAGGGAGAATATACAGGATTGCGTGTTATCGGAGCATATCATAAATCAAGGGGTGATGATAAGCGCAATGTTTGTCTAATTCCAGTATCAGCTCATGGTACAAATCCTGCTTCTGCTGCTATGGCAGGTATGGAAGTTGTACCTGTTAAGTGTGAAAATAACGGTGATCTTGATATGAAAGATTTGGAAGAGAAGGCCATCAAATATAAAGATAATTTGGCAGCATTTATGGTTACTTATCCGTCAACATTTGGTGTTTTTGAAAATGGCGTTGTGAAAGCATGTGAAATAATTCATCAAAATGGTGGGCAAGTTTATATGGATGGAGCTAATTTAAATGCACAAATTGGATTATGTACGCCAGCTGATATAGGAATGGATGTTTGTCATTTGAATTTACACAAAACATTTTGGTATTAACAGTTTATTATAATATACTATACATAACGAATTTTTTTTATTTTTTAGTAACAAATTATTAATTCAATGTCTCATTTAATTAGCATACCTCATGGTGGTGGAGGACCAGGAGTTGGTCCCATAGGCGTGTTAGTTTTACTTATAATTTGAATTAATTATATTTGATGTATTTAAAAAAAATTGAATTCCCAAATTTGAATTACTTTCTTTCCATTTTTAGTAAATCACACCTTTTACCATTTTTACCGGGTCACCCAGTTGTAAAAACTGGTGGCGATAAATGCATTGGACCTGTAGCAGCAGCACCTTTCGGTTCACCGGTTATTTTACCAATTTCATGGGCGTATATAAAAATGATGGGTTGGTTATTTAACTTTCGTCAAGATAAATTTGGGTATATTGAGAAATTTATTTATTTGTACTTGATTATTTATAACAGGCAGTAAAGGATTAACATCGGCTACGCATCTCGCATTGCTTAATGCTAATTATATGGCAGTCCGATTATCAAAACACTATAAAATTTTATTTACCAATCAAAATGGAATGTGTGCTCATGAGTTTATTATTGATATCAGACCATTTCAAAAATCCGCAGGAATTGAAGCCATAGATATAGCCAAACGTCTTCAGGTAATAATTTATTATTATTTTTATTATTATTTATTAAGGAAGAAATTATAATATCGAACCATTTCAGGATTATGGATTCCATTCTCCCACAATGTCATGGCCAGTACCAAATACATTGATGATAGAACCCACAGAATCAGAATCCAAAGCAGAATTAGATAGATTTTGCGATGCAATGATTTCAATTAGAGAAGAGATAAGTTCTATTGAAAACGGTCAACAACCGATAGATAATAATGTATTAACAAATTCACCACATACTATTGAAACGTTAATTTCAACCACCTGGGATAAAGCTTATAGCAGAGAACAAGCGGCTTTTCCGATGAAATTTCTAACAACTCATAAATTTTGGCCATCGGTTGGAAGGCTTGGTAAGTTTGACATAGAATTCTAGAAAGACTACTTTTATTTACCTATTTAAAGTACGCTAAATATTGTTTCTTAAAAAATATTATTATTATTATTTTCCGATATAGATGACGCATTTGGAGATAGAAATTTGATATGTTCTTGCCCGCCAATTGAAGATTATCTCGAATAAAGTAGAAAGTAGAAAAGATAACTAAAGTAGAAACATTATAGAGTTGATTAATATTTAGAATTTATAGTATTTCATTTGAATTATTTTGAAGTAAACCAATTGTATAACAGAATTACCAAATATTAGAATCATTCCAGTTTTGAAATCTATCAAATTTTTTGATTATTTATAATAACATATCATCATCATCATCACTAATTTCGATTATTTCTTTTGATGGATCTATTGTTAAATCAACGGTTTCTCTTATCAACATCTTTTCAAATTCTACTTTGCTAATAAACATTATATCATCATCATCATCATCCGTCATCATTTTTTCTTCATTAATTACGATAATGTTTTCTTCTGTAGAAATATTTTCTGCAATAAAGATCTCTTCAACTTCTTCATCAAGATTTTTGTTTTCACGGTATATGCTTTCATTAATATTCTCTCTATTTGATTCAAATTCATCAATTTTTTCATCTATTTGAGTTTCCATATTAAAATCTGTGTTATTAATTTCATTTCTAGAATCATTTCCGTTAATATTAGCTTGTTTATCAAGCTTTTCATTATTGGTCTTATTATTATCATCAATATTGTTATTTACAGTAAAAAATTTGTTATGATCTGTTTCATTTTCTATATTATTGACATTACTGTTTTGATTATATAAATTTTGATCGTCAACTGAATTTTCTATGTTAGAATGATTATATGTGGTATTATTAAGATTATCACTAATAATCATATCTTTAAAGCCATTATCATGAATTACTATTTTTTCAGAATTATAATCTTTAACATTGTCATCATTTAAAATTAAGATGTTATCTATATTATTTAAATCGTTATGATTATTGTTAGGAATTATAATTTTTTTCATTTTTTCTTTGTAATTATTATTATTTGATAATAATGTTAATGATGTTATATCTTCTTTTTCTTTTTTATTATCATTATCTATCGATAAAGAATCCAACTTTTCTTGTTTAATAATATAATCATCTGAAGATAAAAAATCTTTTTCTTCTTGTTCAGTATCACTATTTGATGATGATAATTGTTTTTCACTTTCAATCAATTCTTCATTCCGACATTCATTTACTTCATCAATATTTTCTTCAATTAAATTGTTGTGAGAAAGTAATAAAGTTTTGGGGATCGGTAATCCTTTAGATTTATAATGATTATGAAACCATTGTTTTGTTTGATAATGAACATGTAATCTTGCAACTGGATGAGGATGAAGAGTTTTCAAATTGATAAATGGTTCATCTTGTTTAGGAGTAAAAATTATATCAGCAGGATCAAAATCGAGATCTTCCAAACAAGTTGTATGTCGTTCTTGATTATGATTAGTTTTCGAACTAGTCCTTTTTTCTGGTATCTTTTCAGCTTTATAAATATATACGGAAATAGCTCCTAAACGACCTTTATTTTTTGTGATTTTTGATTGAGCAATTCTTGGTATATTTGATACGTAAACATTATCATCCATCCAATTTGCTGGTTCAAATTTAAATAAATGAAAGACTGATTTGTTATGATTGTAAAACCCATACATATAGGTATATGTTTCATCGTCCATAGGATCAATTTTCATATGTGTATTATCATTTTTTCCATCAACAATGTGTATCCCTTTAAACAAGTCTGGATCTTTTGTAGAATGTACTCCAACTCTAATAGCAAAATGACAGGTAGACTCCGGAACTAAAACATAAGTCACATTTTTACTAAAAAATTAAACGAAAGATAATCATAAGATTTGGTGCAAAAAACGAAAAGATGATAAAGTATAAGAATAAATAATCTTTTTTACCTTTCTTTTTTTAGAGCCATTCTTTTATTAATAGATTCTTGAGAATACGATATCAACTTGGTATCCTAAAATAAAAAATTTTTAATTTAATCTTGAATTTTAGTACGATTTTTTTTTTTTAATATAATCCTACATCATCTATTGGTATTTCATATTCCGGAAGTACTTTATTTTCAATAAGAACTTCAAGTGAAAAATCTCCAAGACGCATTTTTGATATTATTTTAGAAAGAAAATATATGGATAATTAATATTGATTTATTTAGAAAGAAAATTTTCAATTCATTTCAGAAAGAAATATATTTTTTTAGGAAAAAACGCGCTTTATATCAGAATCAATCTGATCATCATATAATCACGGATGATGAAAATCTCAAGCCGATCATATGACCGAACTTCTACAAATTTCACTACCACGTTGAATTACACACCAAATGTCGGAAATTTTTCTCTGCCAAAAATTTTACATTAAATGATCTTAAAAATTAGTGATAATAAATTTTTGTTTAAAAAGTTTAGCACTGTAATTATATATGAAGTCGAAATGGTCAAAATGCAAAACAATTTTTTTTTTGAAATACTTACAACACTTAGTCACCACTATAACCCCTTTGACACTTTAAAGCCCAGTGTAAGTTTGTGTTAAAACCTAGGTGAATGAGTGTTATACCCAAGTAGGCTACTACATCGATAAACCCCAGGGTAGATCACATAGTATTCGTTCATCATTCACATTCATCAAAAGAGACTCAAGAACAACCTAAGATGATATCCTACACCACAATTGCCTTACCTAACATCAAAATCACTCTGAAAATCAAACTCAGGTCTCCAAACACTAGTTGTGATATAGTCATCACAATGATTAAAGATAGTGCAATATCAACCACATATAACCTGTGACTATTATTCAATCCAAATTATATCAGAAATAGATCTCCTTGCAGATGATATAATGGCACTTGTCTATTATAGACCAGCCACTTAATATAGGTTTCAAATTCAATTAGTTTACTATGCATAAGGTTGTTTATCTAAACTGATTTTTGTTTTAACTAAACATCTAAATCTTTAATTTCGCTAATTTTTTATTAAATATTTAATAAAGTTTTGACATTTTTATAAGTTTTAATACAGTTTTACCTTTTTCTAAATTTCAAAGATTTCTTTAATAAGGTTTTAATATAATTTAACCAAGTTTTACCTTTACTATTTAAACACTCATTTAAACTCTAGATTTAATCTAGCTAACTTAATTATACATCAAGTTACTTACCACTAGGGTTCTGCAATTTGATTTGATATTTGAATATTTGATTTGATCAAATTCAAATCAAAGAATGATTTATTTGATCAAATCCAAATTAATCTTTGATTCGATTCGATCAAATTCAAATCAAGTGTTCAAATATTTGATTTAATTCGAATCAATAGTAAAGCTATCTCCAAAGCTTCAGAAGTGATTCTTACTAAGAAAACCATAGTAAAAAGCACCTCCGTGGCTTTGGAAATGCCTTTTTTACTAAGAAAAACATAGTAAAAAACGCCTTCACGGTTTCAGAGACGTTATTTTACTTAGAAAACATAGTAAAAACGCCTTTGCAGCTTCAGAAACATTTTTTACAGTAAAAAACGTCTCTGCAGCTTCGAAGATGCTATTTTACTAAAAAAAACATAGTAAAAATGCCTCTGCAGCTTCGAAAACGTTTTTTTACTAAGAAACCTAGTAAAAAAATGCCTCCGCAGCTTCAGAAACGTTTTTTTATAGTAAAAAAATGCCTCCGCAGCTTCAGAAACGTTTTTTTATAGTAAAAAACGCCTCCGCGGCTTCAGAAACGTTTTTTATAGTAAAAAAATGCCTCCACAGCTTCGGAAACATTTTTTAATAGTAAAATGGTTACGAAGCTGAGATGGCGGTTATTACTAAGTTTCTTAGTAAAACCGAAGGTGCGATGACAGTTATTACTAAGTTTTCTTAGTAAACTGAAGCCGCAATGGCAGTTATTACTAAGTTTTCTTAATAAACTGAAGCTGCTATGGCGGTTATTACTAAATTTTCTTAGTAAAACTGAAACTGCGGAGTTATTTTACTAAGTTAATAGTAAAAATTCATCTGTTACTAAACTTACTTTATAAAAGCTATTTTTGAAATTTTTTAGTATAATTACTAATAATTTTCTTAATTAAACCTTTATAATAACTTTATTTTAATATATTATTGTAAAAATTAAAAAAAATTTTTATATTCGATTTGATTCGATTTGATTTTGAGGAATCCTAATCATGATTGATAGCCTATTTTCTGAGACTCTCTTCTCGCTGGATTCTTGTAGATAATATTTCATTATTACTGGGTTTGGATGCTTTTAACACATTACTGATACGCTCGATAGGCTTGGAAGGTTTGCTAGTTTCAGGTTTATCGATTACTGACTCAGATGGTTCAGAAGCCTTAATAGTTTCAGATGTCTCAGATGTTAAGGCGACTGGAGCTTCAGTTTTTTCTGGCAAGATTATTTTGAGGGAATTTTTTCTGGCACATTGAATATGAGCTCACTCTGTGTACATAAATCTTCTTGAGGTATTTTAGAAAATTCTTCGATATTGCCTAGGCCAGATTTACAGAGCTTGGCTATAATTTTAGTGCAATCAAGTATATACTGATATACTCTTATTCCATTATCCTGTGAATATCTTCGATCAATACTAATTAGTGAAAATTTCTTACCAGCGACCTTATTAGTTAATAGTTTTTCCCCATTATACCCACACCAAAGATGCCAGCCAAAACTCCCTCAAAATAATTTCATCATATCTCTTACTATATTTTTAATATAATTTCGGCTAATTTTGGGTTTCAGGATTTCATCATACCCTCACTATGTTTTAATATAGTTTCGGCTATTTATTAATTGCCTTTTTTGAGTTTCGTCTCTCATCTTTAACCCACACCATTCAAGATAATCCTGATATACCTTTTCACAGCCAAACCTGCTAATCTGATTTTCAGGCCAAGTTGTAATATAATCAATTATAAATCGAATAGGATTAAAAAGTTGCTCTCGCATTATTTCTATTTTCATTTTAGTTGCAGGAATTTTTCCTGGAATCCAATTTGATAAATCACGACTAAGAATGTATGACATGACTACTCCTGATGCATCAGGATGGTCTAGAATTTCTCCTAGCTGGTCAAAATATGCTATATTACTTCTACCACATGCAGAAACATCAAAACAAACTATACGAGAATCACTTATATCTATTTTAAGCAGAGTATCCTGATTGCTTGTAATCATATACCCAGCATAATCATTTATTCGTATAGTTTCAAGACCCTTACGCTCTATAGCTACTATTCATTCTGTTATAAGTAATTTGAGATGCCCGTTAAATCTATGCTATTCTCCACTAGACATTCCAGTCTCATTCATAACAATAAGCTTTCGAGCTTAAATGGCACTATTAAAACATCTAAGAATTTTTTTCAAATCTGATGTTGCGAAATGGAGGTGTAATCCTAAGACTTTATCACTAATAAAATCAGTGATGATATTTTTTCTGCACTGTTGTAACATAGATTTTAGTACTAAGATAGTTCGGGATTTCTTCTCTGGCTTCTGCACTAAATATGCTTATCAGTTCCAGATATATTCGTCAAGTCTTTCATTTCCACTACAGATTATGTTCTTTACATGCCAGAGAATTGGGTTCATAATTTCTTTGTTAATTCCTAACACTGGCTTAGCCAAAAATCCCAGGAAAAGGTTAAAGAACTTTGTATCATGAGCTGGACTATTTAGCGGATATGGTAGAAAATTAATATTGTGGTAGAAGATTAGACCTTTGGTAATTGCCCAATCTATTAAATTAATTAACTTCACCGCCTCTTCTCCTAGCTAAACTAAATTAATTTCATATTTAGCAAGATCTAATTTTGGCATCATATCAAAATAAAGTCTACTATTCATATCCTCTGTTTTGAGCAACCATAATTTTGATGTCATTTGAATACAGACAACTATTGCCTGAATTGCATCATAAATCTCATTATGAGAAAATTTCCGTCCAGACACACATATCTATTAGATCATCTCATATAAAGTAATCATTAGGATTTGTAATTCTGGATTGTTCTAGTTTTATGGGACTTAAAAGCTTTTGTTCTCGATCCAAAGCAGTTTCGCCAATAGTAAGTTTTTTCAAAGGTTTACTGGAGTGGGATTCCATATAATTGTTTGTCTGATAGCAGAAAAAGCTGTAGAATTTTTTATTTTGAATAATATATGCATTATCACTATCATGTTCTTAGTTACATATTGGATAGTGTGATGGAGAGATGTGCGATAGTGGAAATTTATCAGGAAAATTTTCAGATGGATATGAGAGACTATACCAATGTTGGAAAATTGGACAATTTTAGGTAGTTTTGGACAGGTTTTGGACACAATTTCATATGTCCAAAACCTTGTCCAAAACTAAAAAACGTGTCCAAAACCCATCACTGGACTATACCCTTTGATGCTAGCCTCTTAAAGTAATATCTCTACTAGTTCACATTCAGCTATGGTTATCTCATTACTTATGTTAACATATTTTACACTTTCTATTTCTAGAACAGCCAAAAGAAGACTGTTGTAGATGATTTCTGATTCATCATTGGGTGGGCAGATCATGAAGTCGAAGATAGATCCATTTTTTAGACAAATAGCTTTTTTTATACAAACATATTCCTCTATTTTTTCATTGTATTTGGGTGATCCAAACATTCGCAAGGAAAATGATCATTTGTAAGCTATATTGTCTACAATACCTTTATCCTGTAATCCTGCTGTGAGTTTTTTACGAACAAGCTCAATAAATAATGCAATCTGAGTGATGTTTGGAAGTCTCATACTGAAAGTTGAGACATGGAGAGATATTTTTTTCGCATCACTACTATCAGCAATGGATATAGTTTTTTGGGAATATTTCTAGACAGACATCTCTAAAAGCATTGCAAAATGTGTTTTTAGCCTGTTTGTCTAATAGCTTAGATGAAATAGCATTTAGCGTTTCTATTGGCAAATCAAAATCTATGATAGGATAGAGTGGCTCATCACTATTAATAATCTCGTGTAGGGAATGCCCTTCACGATCTGAGAGTATTGCTTCTATTTCATCCACATTGTCTGCGTCAAGAAAATATCTTAGTCTAACACTATCATCATGAATTTTATATAAGCATTCACTAATATCTTCAGCTTTAAAATTTTGTTTATACAAGGTGGGAGCGTTGAGAAACTCTGATTGGGTTATGATAAAAATTTTCAGATATGTTATCTAGTATACTATTTCAGTATAATACCCCAACAAAAAAGTTTAAAATAAAAATAAATAATTATAGATATCAAAGTGTTATTTATCTAAGAATAATATCAATGAGTGGTAAATATATTTGCCAGTATCGTTCCAATGAAGGGGAGGTTTGTGAGCAGAAAAGTAGAAAACCAGAAGGGTGTTATATTCACTGGAAAAAGCGCCAGCAACCTCTATGCAAACAAGATAGATGTGAAAGACTGATGGCTTTTAAATATGGATTTTGTGATTAGCATGTAAAAAAGTATCACTCGAACACATATTATCATCGGAAAAAATTGGATAAGATATTTCAAAACTGTCAGACCCCAAAGGCAATGAGTCAGGCTCTCTATAGAATAAAAATGCCTAATACTATAAGTTGGCCTTAATGACTTATCAAAAATTTTGCCTCATGAAAAATTTATAGGGACAGCAAAAAAACTTAACAAGGACATTAGAAGTATCTTCTTTAACGATTTTAGAACTTTAGGAAGGCAATTTACTACTTGTTCTTAAGAACCTTAAGAGCCCTATAAATTTTTAAACTCTTTACCTTTTTTTATTTTTTTTTTATATATATCACCAAGGTGTATACCATAGAAAAATTTTGATTTTTTTTCTAGAACTTTAAAATTTCTTAGGATTAATAAGGTTCTTAAGGACAGATAATAAAGAATTCAATAAAATAAGCTAAGAAGCCCAAAAATGATATCAAAGTTAACCTTATGAATTACCCTATAAAAATTTGGTATTAATTTTATAAGAACATAATTTCATGGTAACAGTAAAAAATTTGGCATATATATCTTCTAACAATATAGTAAAAAGATCATGCTATAATAAATTAAAAAGTTATCTTATAGATCACATGATTTTTACCTTGTCACAAAATCCATCCAATCAGCTAAAATTGGCAGATCCT